AATGTCACATACTTTATCATGTATTTATACATGGCTATCTATTTACTGTTCATATATATTCACATTTTAGCCGTTTTTACATAATAAAGAGTTTCCATGCTTATTTTCTCAAACCTATTATGATGATAATTGCTTAACTACTCAAACAATAGTCAGTGCTTAAGGTGACCTGCCTCATTCTTTCCAGTAACAATGACCGCCGGGCCATAGCCGAAGGCCCGGGCGAAGCTAGAACTTCGCAAATCGCAATTAATTAACAATGACCGATGTTTGTCATCTGTACCATGGTGGTTTGTTAGACTTTCATTCTAAATTTAATGGAAAAAAACAGAAGACCTTATTATTATTTTTTACAGTTATGGAATTTTATTAACTAAAAAAAAGTCCAGTGGGATTTGCAGACTAGACATTCAGAACAAAAAATTTAGATGCGACAAATCTAGAAAAAAAAAAATCACAATAGAACTGTGAGGTGTAATAAAAAAAAATAGAAAAAATGCTAAATCAAATATAGACAATGATAGTGTAGTGATCTATAAAAAATTATGATTACGAAATCTTAAGCTGCCACCACCTGGTTCATTCGTTAAGGAACGTGAGTTAATACGTTCGTAAAGTAAAAGGCATGTAGAAGGGTGTGAGCGGAGTTAGAGAAAGTAATTGCTTATTCTTTATATCTTCACTCTGCATTTATTGTTTCCAAAAGCATTGTCAGCAAGATGCAAAAATCTAGGCACGTCTTTTAAAATTACTTTCATCAGTAATCAACCCTTGAAGCTATGGGGATGCATAATGGGATCTCTTAAAAAAAATATATGTATTCAAATCTTTATAAAAAGTTTATTTTATCAGTCAGCGCGAAGATAAAAAATCACAAAACTGAACTAAAATGAACAAGAAAAAGAACCATCCTCCAGTATGAAAATGCACTGAGGAATACTAAAAGGAAAAAAATAGCTCAAAACGTTAAAATATCACCATGAAACAAAACGGTAAAAACAAACAAGGAAATGTAAAAATGTAGCAATCTTAAAACATGCAAGAGAAAAAATACATCCACAAAGAGAGAACATCACCACCTTAAGAATCTAAGAAAAGTTAAGATGCCATCTTACCGCCTATTAGCTCGTACCCTTGCGCCCACAGACAAGGAACCTATTACAATCCCGGGCCTCACGGCTGAAAGATGCTCTCCCCCTTTGACCTGGCCTGGACGCTCGGGACCTGTATATAAACCCTCCCAGCAAGCATCTTTATAAGATGAGGGGAACCACGGCTCAGACGAGGTGAAGGCGGCATTTCTGTCAAGAGAGGGCGTGTCTTCCCCCTTTCAGATAATTAAGATTTCTTTTTAAAACAAAGCCTAGTTTGAAAAAAAAAAAAAAAAAAAAAAAAAAAGGGATTGACGAATGTTAAAATATAAAAAGTATAGTCTCATAAGGTAGAATGTGCTCTCCTATGTGATATAAAAAAAAAAACGAGAATAAAACTTAATATAATAATTGTAATACAGAAAACGTCAAAGCCGATTTGCCATAGCATCTTGCTCCCTCCCCAGTTTCCTTGAACGGTCATCTACCGGCACTGACGGCCTCGTGTTTGGTGAGAGGGATAATTCATGAATTCTTCCCAGGTTCCTCTGTCCTTCAGTTGAAGATTCACTACAGTAGAAATATAATTTTTGTTAATTTTTATTTGAGAAATTATTTCTCTTTCTGGTAAGAGGTTTTTGCCGTGAAGTGAGTATTTCTTGGTGCCTAAGAAATAGCACTGAAAAGATTAGCGGCCTTGGCACTATAGTAGAAATAGACGAGTCTAAATTCGGCAAACGAGAATACAACGTAGGCAAATTGATTTAGTACCATTGGGTTTTCGGTGGGTTGTGCCGTGAAAGTCGGATTTTTAATTTTTTTATTCCGGTGTCCTCCAGAGGTGCTGAGACCCTTCTAGCAGTTATAAAAGACTATTAAAGAAGGGTCCACCATCATCAGTTACTGCTTGAAGGCATATAACTGCCTTAATAAAGAATTTCAGCACCTGACTGTGAACCATTCCCTTAACTTTGTGGATCCCGTCATTGCGGCTCATACCAATACAATCGAGCGTGAGTGGCGGGAAGCGAAGGCAGATTTAAGTATCACCTTGTTGGCTATCTTACCCGTGTAATGTTTTTGATGAGCATTCCAGATTCGAATTAAAGACTACATTGCTTCCTCCTTGCCGCTGCTAATCTGTACTCTCCGCAGTACGGTACGCCGTCCTATCATTTATGTTGTAAAAGAGGTGTTTCTTGTCATGCATATTACGAGGAGTGTTGGGGGCAGAGCCCCTCATCAACCCTCCCCTGACAGTCCTCGAAGGGCACGCCCAGTCACGGCAATTTGGACTGTGTAGTAAATTTTGACATTAATCATGTGAGCTTCTTGTGCTTTCCTAATTTTCAAATATGGCGGGCATTAATGAACACTCGCATTTTTTCATCATATTCTCTGTCCTGTATCTCCTCTATTATCGATTTGCGCACCTTTTTGCCTTGTGATGCTAAGGGAGATGGAAGGTGTAAATTTATATCTGCATTTTACTTAAATAATCGGGGTCTTCGAGTTCTCAAAAGTCAAGAATTACATTAAGAGACGCTCCATTAAAGCACATTTTTTCAGGCATGTTTGGCAGCAGGGGTTGTGAAGGCAACATCGCCTTATTGCATCGACATAGACAAGAAGACGGGCAGGCAGTTGTGTTGTCCACCCGGGAATGACGGATATGGAGGTGATTCAGGTTGAAAATATTTATCTCATCACTGAATTAGAAATTAGAATCAAGAAAAAGAGAAAATGATAATCAATGATGTTTCAGAGTGTGTGGAATACCTTCCGAAGAATTCCCTGAGGCATATGAAGGGCGTCGAGAGTATTGAGGAGTTTAACGGAACGAAGGCCTACGTCGTCTCGCCACCTCAAGACAGGTGATTGGGTAGTCTCTAATGTGCTGGCAGTAATTGTCGAACTTGAGAAAATCGTCAAACTAAGTAGGGAATGGCTGTGTATTAACACTGACCCAATAAAACTGAGCGAAGTACCAGCACACTGTTTTGTATGAATAACTGTTAGTAGATATTCTCTAGGTGTCAACATATCCCTAGCTACATTCTTAATATTTTGTCAGTTTGAAAACACATGGTTGAAAGGGTGAAAGAGAAATAAGCTATATCACTCGCAATTGAATCGTAATCAAAAGCTTCTTGATGATACTGAACCCCATTGTTCAGGAGCCATTGGTTTAATTTTTCTTACAATTGCAGTGATGAGTCGTGTTGCTGTTTGGAGGAGAAGGAACGGATGTTGCTTAAGACTGTGGTGGCAGAAGGGGGTGAGTGTCTTCGGGTTGTCCAGGACCAAAATATGCTCTTGAGATAATTATGTTGAAAGTATTTACGGTTTCATTATTCATTGCATTAATATATGTATTCGCATCAACATTTGTTAATGCAATGCCTAACGGAATTTGAAAATTTGGATATTTATGCATGATCTTAAATATCGATATAAATCTGCATAAGCAAATACGATAAACTTTATTTCTTTGTCTGTAGTATATAAATCTATTTATTGCCAGCCAAATTACATAACCCGAATTTTGCTCACTGTTTAAAATTAACTTGCAGGCTTAATTTACAGCTGCCACTTTCAATTTTGTAATTTTCTATCTTTGTAATGCAATATACTATATATACTCGCTTTGAAAGTGACAGTCATTGCTTGGAAAAATTGCTTGAACATAGTGTGTTCATTACGAAAATCGTAGTTCGATATGAGCAATGATACTAGACAAATTGGTAATATTCTTCAGAGTGTAAAATAAAGTTTAATAACTATCCATTTAAGGAAGAAGTTTCCATAGTTTGGAAACAATTTTTTTTTGCATTCTATTAAACGTATTCTGAACAACGCTTTCCCACAACACTTACGGTATTAGGAGAAACCTATGAAGTGGCCCAAAGCGACCCAGACATGGTGCAGCCCGTGGAGACCGTGACTTGCCGTCTCATCCCTTGTATAGTACCACCTCATCGCCAAGACAAGGGTATCAGTTGTTCGCAGGTAGATAACATACCGTATTGACAGCTGGTAGTATTTGACTTTATTGATATATTAGGACAGGTAATTTTTATGGCTCAAATATTTCATATACAATATTGTAGTTTATGAAACTGCAAATTTCAATTTAGTGGATCTTTAGAGATTTCAAATGAAAAGTGATAATACTGCAGAATGAACTTGCCCATCTTCTGTGTTATCTGTTTTATTTTTATTTATTTTTTTACTTGTCTATAAATACATTTTCAGAAATGGAGCAGCTGGGAGGTGTACGCCAAAGACCCCGCTAATGAAGATATGTTACGCATTGTGAGTTTCAAGGTGCCAAGCGGGTGTCTTTGTGATTCCGATGCCGAGAACATTGAAGACCGGAAGCTACAGGACCCATCTGCTTATGACATGGATCACTGGCTGCAGACGGAAGTGCGTAGGTTGTTTTTGAACGCAGGTGACATTTACGACACTCATTCAATGGGGAAAGACCCAAGAATGCTGAGGTACCCTGTGAAAAGGCAGATTCACCAAGGAGGAGAGGCAATGTCAACCGTAAGGATTCTGGCTCTTATCCTATCCAAGGTGGAGCCATCAGACAGACTTCCCATTTTCCAGGAAGTGAAGGGGATTATGAGTGAGAAAGTAAACTACATGCGAGAAGCACGAAAGATAATCGAGGCGATCTTTGGCGGGGGCGGGACGGCCGATGGAACCACAGACGTGGGGTCCTCTGACGGTTCTACTAAAAAGCCAGACGCAGGCCCTCAGCCACAGGAGACCGATGACACCCTTAAAGTCAAAATAATACAATTCTTGTTAAGACGTGCAATGGCTGAGGTGATGTGTAACGCAACAGTTGTCGTCAAGTTGGACGAGCACAAGACTCCCTCCTTTCTCCCTCAGGAATTCGTCAAAGAAATGCAACAGAATGAAAAAGTCACGCTCTCGCCCATCGCCTGCCTGCTTGTCTCCACCGCGCTCCGTTGCCGTGACACGGATGTCCTGCAGGCGATAAGGGACGGACGCCTCGCCCGGATGATCGTGGCCGCCGAGATGGTTAGCGAAGGCATTGCGAAGGTACTGTGCTGGGGCTGGGAGAGAAGGTGTAGGGGTAGAAGTAAGTGTAGTATTAGTATGGGGAGTGTTAGAATTAATATTTGAAGATCATGAAGCACCCACCTATAACATATTGTAAAAGTAAAATATTTTTATCATATTTTGTCATTGCTAAATTTTCCAACTAGACACACTTTTAGATCCCTTCTCAATTGCTGAAGTCCCCAGAACATCACTAATCATGAAATCTTGGTTACAGGTTCTGGATGATAGTGATGGCAAAATTAGTGCGGTCTTCCAATTGGCGGGTGACAACACTACAGCTGCCTCTCTAACAGCGATTGATGAGAACAAAGTTGCAGAAATTCAGGGTTTCTTTGACAGAGTTCTTGAAGCCACTGGTAATAGTGGCAGCACGACTGATACTACTGTGTGGACAACAACAACCGAAAATGACAAACAATCAACATCTGGAATACCACAGCAAGAGACTACAACTTTGCCACCTGTGACATCTGATCCAATAATTGTAACGCCGAGCAAGGCACCAGCTTCAGAAGAGCCCACGGGAAACCCAGTGATCCCTCCTAAAGAGCAGCTCCCTTCATCAGAATACATGAACTTCAATGACACGGGGGCCGTCCTGAGTAGTTTCTTAAATGTGACAGGTGATCCGTGGTTTCTAGTGACCAATCGGCCGTTGACAGAGACGTCAGCGGGAGGAAAGCCTGTTACATCAACGACCTCAGTCCCAACTCAGACTATGATAGAGAGCGAGACCATGAATATATCCGAAGTACAGACTGAAGAGACTCGTAAACCTACAACATTGCCTAGTGGCTTGACAGTGACTGCAGGAACTTCGGATTTTCCTTCGACAGTGACTGTCGAGATATCAGAAAACCCTATGACATTTACTGGCTCTTCTGATACTGTGACAACAGATTCATCTTTCTCAGGCACTACTACATCGTTTACTGATGAGACACCATCCTCTTCATTGGCAGTGACAGAAGAAACTGTAACTGAATATCCAGCATCGGTGAGTGAGGGAGAAACTACTGCCTCAGTTGGTGTAAGTACAGAAATGACATATACTGTGCCATCAACTGATGTTTCAAAATCTCAGACTGAGACGACGACGAACACGTTTGCTTCCTCTGTTTCAGAGTCGACGACTGCATCAATGAATGAAGAAACAGAAGGTGATGACTTTCTAACTTCAGACTCTATAGCCATGGGAATAACTACAGAAGGGACAGTGACCATGGAAACAGGAACGACAGAAGCAATAACAGAGACAACCACAACAGAAGAATTTTCAAGTGAGTCAGTGACCGAAGCAACAGTTACTGGGGAATCGACTCCCATAGAAATATTTACAGAAGAAACGGCAACAACAGCAATCAGTGAGGAATCAACTCCAAGGGAGACGGCAACAGAGGGAACAGTCACAGAAGAGATGGTAACAGAAGGAACACTCATCACTGAGGATTCGACGAACAGTGAGACGGCAACTGAGGGCGCAGTGACGCAAGAATCGACGGACAGTGAGACGGCAACTGAGGGCGCAGTGACGCAAGAATCGACGGACAGTGAGACGGCAACTGAGGGCGCAGTGACGCAAGAATCGACGGACAGTGAGACGGCAACTGAGGACGCAGTGACGCAGGAATCGACGGACAGTGAGACGGCAACTGAGGACGCAGTGACGCAGGAATCGACGGACAGTGAGACGGCAACTGAGGACGCAGTGACGCAGGAATCGACGGACAGTGAGACGGCAACTGAGGACGCAGTGACGCAGGAATCGACGGACAGTGAGACGGCAACTGAGGGCGCAGTGACGCAGGAATCAACGCCCAGTGCGACGGTAACTGAAGCTGCAGTGACGCCGAAATCGACGCCCAGCGAGACTATAACAGAAATCGTGACTAAGGAATCAACATCCGTGACCGAGATAATAGAATCGACTACAGAGGCAACTCCGCAAATTTTACCACATGAAATAGCCGAGGACATTCTTGCTCCACCAGTGATTCCTTCAGAAGAGGATTTACCCAAGACTGAATATGAACCCTTGAACGTTCCAGTCGAATTTATTCTTCACTTTCTTAGTTAATTCGCCTATTATTGTAATGGATTGTCCTTCAGCTGGGTGCGCGATTGCGTGTGCGATTGTGTGTTTGTATGTGGGATGAGTACTGCTCGCAGGATGTAACATGGATATATTTATTTTGTGTAATTTTGTGAATATTTTACTATTATTGAATTTTATGTATCAGTTCAGCTAGTTACCATGACCATAGGAAAATCCCTTTGTAATATTTATATATATCGATGTATGGAATAACATGAAAATTTTAAACAAGAAATACAAGTGAATAACAACTGTTAAGCAGGTTACGTCAGGTGGTGTGTGTGTGTGCACGTGAGGGGAAAAATATTTAAATTGTATAAAATAACAGCAAGTTGGTACAGAAAGTATTGATAGCATTATTTGTTGGAAATATTGTTTTTATCATGTTTTAAGAGTTCATGTTTTGTTATTAAAACTTTTATATATGCAATGTTGCGTTTCATTCAGTATATTTCAAGTTCATGAAGCAAATTTAGGTCTTTCATTTTGAAAATGTTTTAAAGTTCAGTTTCTGGTATAACATAGTGCCTGGTTAGTACAGTATCAATCAGTTTCTGTATGGAGATAATTACGTTTAAAAGAAACCTAGAGAAAGGTGTTCAAATACTTCCAAGCATGAACAATGGAATACGTGTTGGCTTTACAATTTGCAATTATATTGTAATTATTAGTTTACATTTTGATTTCATTTAACTGGTGCAAGTAATGGATTTTTCAGTTTATAAAATAGTCCATACAGTATATACCTTTGGCGAAAAATACACTTATAGATAATAAATGTTTAACGTTCATGTATTAGGGCATCTTTGGTACATCAAGAAAAGTACCGATGCTGTGGATTTTTCCCAATGCGTGGGAGGGCCGTTCAGGCTATCGGCAACGCATTGTGCTTTGATATCATCTTTTAAACTCCACCCTTTTAGCCTGACAACAAGCCTGGATTTCGTTACTAGAGGCCCATCTCGTTTCCAATGTGCTTATTTTTTCACCAGAGAAACTTAGCTGTGGTTATATTTTACAACGGGAATGTGTGAAATATATTTCTAGATCATTCTGTATCCAGGGATCAAAGAGATAAACCATGAACACAGATTATTTTAATTGTTGATAGTCATTGGAAATCTGGTAATTTTTCCTCTCAAACAGTCTCAATTGAATTCTTCGTTTTTTGTATATTGTCAGTGACGTGTATGTGTATAAAGTTTGAACGTGTAATATGGCTTAGATAACAATGGATATTATAACACTTAAGAGACATTTTGGATAGTGAATGAAGTTAAATAGACATGCTCATATAAAGCCAATAAAAAAATGCGTGTTGTCACTGTTGTCGGTCGATGCGTAAAGGTCATAGCCGGAGTAAGGCCTCCCTCCTTATTGCGAGGATGAAAACATACAATTTTGTGAAATCATGAACCACGGCAGCTCAAATTTTAAGTGCTGGCCGATTTATGTACATTGTGCTGCTTGTGCTTATCTATATATGACAATGATAATGATTGATAATAAAAACTAATGCGCTAGTTTTAATTATTGTGGGGACTGGCGGAACCCAGTAGGGGACCACCCTTCCTTGGACCTTAGCCTTCGTCTCGACTAATTATTATTATTCTTTCCCTTTCCTTCTCTTCTTTATCCCTCTCTGTACACTTACCCTAATCATTAACTTGTTTTTTTTGTTTTTTTTTTTTTTTACCCTTTCCGCCACAATAGTAATAACCTTTGATATCTGACACGTTTGTTTGTTTTTAACCATTAACCAATTTGGAAATCCACAAACATCACCTTATGGAAAAAAAATCTGCCTGGGAGTTTCGCCATTAGGTTTGACCTTAGATGTTGAGGCGTCGGAATTTTTTCAATAAAAAAAAAAAATACGAGTGAGCTATGGAAGAAGTTGGAAGCTAAGCAGTATTCGAGGGTAGTGTGGCAGTGAAATAGCAGAGAGGGTGAGCTTATCAGCTATAATATAAGCCTCCCCCAATCCCTTGTTCGTTGTCGTCGTGGGGGCTTAGAAGAAGGGGATTGAGGCCCAATGTAGAGGATTACCCCTCTTTTAAACTATATGATAGGGTGGTGCTTGGGGGCCAACCTATCGCTATATTTTGAATACATTGTTAATAACCTTAGATGTTGACGCAGCAGAAAATGTTCAAATAAATAAAATGTATGCCATTAGGGCCATCATGTGTGTTTCAAAATGACTATAAAGAGAAAGGAGTTCAATAGAAGAGAACGGGGCTATGTATTGCTCTGTAGAAGAAGAGGAGATGGGAGAGAGTTCCTTGGCTATTTTAATGGAAAAGAAGTTGGGAGAAAGATGAGAGCCACTGCTGACCTGGCTGAAATATGCAGCAAGTTCAGTAGTAATTTAGGTTCAGAAATGAGTGTTACGGATGTGGAGAACAGGGGAAGGATGAACAGGTTGTTTCCCTGATAGTTTCCCCCCCAATCCCTTGCCCGTTGTTGTCGTGGGGGGGCTTAGGAGGCGGAGACTGGGACCCAATGATGGGGAACTCCCCAACCTTGGGACTCAGCCCTCGACTCAACTAATTATGCATGGTCTTTTTTTTCCCTTCCCACTTTTGTTTCTGTCCCTTCACCAAACCCTTCTGCTATCCACCTCCTAAGGTGTGAGAGCCGTGCTGAAAGGATGAAAGGCTGACTTTGTGCCAGTCCTGAACGGCCTGAGGGAGCCATGGGCACGGTATTCCCCTGATTTAGTTATCTAGCCCTTACCCCTCAAGGGGACCCTGAGGGGTGGACTGTTTTTATCCCCAACATAATCCAGGCTTCCCATGGCCAGTAATGAAAATCTATCTCCACTATTAGGGGCAATGAGGCTTGCCCCTTTATCAAATAGCCCCAACGAAGTAAACCCACCTGATTCCCCGACCCCAGGCTCTCCTTTGACCACGGCTCCGAACACTGCAATAACTACCCCTTCACCAATGCCTACTAGTACAGTAGCCAATAATCAACCTTCAAGGAACATTTCCACTCTCCCAGCATACCCAACTTCAACACCTCTACCCCCACAACCCCCAACATCAACCACCCCATCCTCCCTTATTAATACCTTACAACCTTATAGCCCACCTCTCCATAACACTACCTCTATCAACACTACTCCATCTTCGTCACGCCCTCGCCCTTCTACCACCCCTATCTCTAAAACAATCTTGAATACTCTCTTCAGTGCAGCCAAATGGGACCGATTTTTCGTGATCCCTCCCACAGCTCCCTACTCTGACAACACCCTTCTCTTCCAACAATGCCTCCAAAAACAAGTAGGTAAAGTCTCTTTCCGTAGCCGACCCGACCGCTCCCGTCTTGTAACAGTAACATCCGAAAACCAAGCCATAGCACTAACAAAACTAACTGACCAATATGGTAACCCCATCCTAGCAGAACCCCATCCAACCCTTAATACTTGCACCGGAACAGTCTCAATCTCACCAGCAAATTGCCCAATCTATGACAAAGATTGGTCAGATTGTGGAGAAGATCTACTTGCCTGTCTCACAGACTACGATGCAACATCAGTACAATGCTACTCAATCCCCCCCAGAGGTCATCGAAAGAAACCCACTAACATAGCCAAAATTACCTTCCGCAGACATGACCTTCCCTTTAACGTCTACATAGGAGGAGAATCCCTCCCTGTTCGTCCATACCAACCTCCTCCACGTCAGTGCCAAAATTGTTGGCGTCTAGGACACCCAGCCAAACACTGCCGTTCCACAGCCAGATGCCCATTATGTGCCCAACCTGGCCATACCCGATCTAACTGCTCTGCACAATCACGCACATGTGCCAACTGTGGCGGCCCCCATAATGTATTTTATAGGGGCTGTCCCACCTACAAATTTGAATCTGAGGTAGCAACTCTCAAATTCAAACTTGGACTCACACTGCGTGAAGCCAGACAGGAAGCACGTCGACGTGGATTCTCTCTTACTCCTTACTCCAGTAATACTGCTCATTCTAACACTTCTCCTAAACCCACCCCTCCTACATCTAACCCCCCCACTTCTACCTCCTACCTTCCCCAGTCTAACTCTTTTGCCATCCTAAATCCAGAAACTCCAATCTCTAATACAGATACTCCAATCACCACTACAACCCCAACACCTTCCCCTCTCCCTCCTCGCACTCCCCGTAACAGACAGAACAAACGTTCCACCCCCTCTTCCCCTACCACACAATCACCTCCACCATCCTTTGCCCCTACTCTTGAAACACCAGTCCTCTCTTCCCCCCCTCACAAGAAATCCTTTATCCCCCACAACTCCCCAACCAACTCCTCAGAAGAAACTATTGAAAATATTCAAGATTACTTAATGCAAACTGACACTCAACCTACAACCCCTGCTCCTTCCACACTCCAAGTAACTGCTGATATCCATCCCCCTCCTAACGATATCCCCCCTACACCCTATCCTCCTACCCCCTCCCAACACAGCCCATCCCCCCCGACCCCGACCCCAACCCAGCCCACATTAACCCTCCCACCATCCCCTCTATCCCTTCCACTCCCTCCTGGATACACACGTGAATCCCTTATGTCACAAGTATCCCCTTCCTCAGACCCTCCATCTCCTAATACCCCTCCTGATAGAACACCAACTCCCACATCTCTCCCATCTCAAACCTCTCAGTCCTTATCCCACCCTCTAGCTGATTCCCCCTCAAAGTCTCCAACACGTACTGCAATCTATATCACTAAATCAACGAAAGTATAACTATCCTTCATTGGAATATTCGCGGTTTCCGCTCCCACAGACCTGACCTTCGTCATATCCTTTCCTCTTATAACCCATCTATTGTATGCCTTCAAGAAACCTTTCTTACACATCCTCCAATACCAATCCCCAATTATCATTTTGTCTCTTCCCCACATTCCCTTTATGTCTCGTCTATACTTATCAATCAGAAAACACCTTATGTCACACCACCCTTTCAAACCAATGTCCCTTGTACAGTTATTCGTATCTTCCTTCATCGTTGGATCACAGTGATTTCAGTCTACTTCTCCCCTTCCCACCCCATTGACTTTGTTGCTTTTGAAAATCTAATTTCCCAACTTCAACCACCTTTCCTCATAGTAGGCGACTTTAACTGCCGCCACACTCTTTGGGGGGATTCTATTACCAACTCCCGAGGCCGATCTCTAGAGCGCTTCCTCTCCACAGCTGACCTTACTATTCTAAATTCAGATCGCCCCACACACTTTGATACACGCACGCAATCTTTTTCATGCATTGACCTCTCTCTATGCTCCCCTTCTCTTCATATAGATTTCCACTGGTCAGTCTTAGACCACTTTCCCTATAGTGACCACTTTCCAGTTCTCCTTTCTCCTACTTCATACGTACCACTTCCTAACTCCCCACGCTGGTGCTTTGAGAGAGCCGACTGGCATACTTT